GAGAAAAATCTGAAAAAGGAGAGAGAAAAATAATAATTAGCGTATATAGTTGCTTAAGGGTAGGAGTTAACCATAAATAGATATTTTGCTATAAACATTAAAAGGTAGTTATAGAATATAATTTTTTAAAATGGTATTTATTTAAAATAAATAAGGTGTTAAGCTTTGCTATAGGAGGTAAAAATTCCTAAATTGAAACCATAAATATAACACAATTTCAAAATCAAAAAAAATAAAAAATAGTTTAACATAGGTCAAATTCCAACATAATAAAAATAAGTTCTAATACAACTTAAGATTAGAAAACATAATAGGTTTATAGCCTCATTCAACAACGAAATTCTACTTTAATGACATCACTCATTATATGCCAAGTTTGTTAATAACTCATTATTTCTAATATTAAGAGGTGTAGTTTCAAAAACTAGAATAATAACGTAGTTACACTAAATGAAGAAAATAAAACATATAAGAAATAAAATATACGAGCAATTATATGGAATCACAAGAAGTAAAGGTAGAGAAATAAAAGATAAATTATGTACAAAGAAAAATATATTTAAAAATTTAAAAAGAAATTAAAAGTAAAAACAAAATATAAAATAAAATAAAAAGAAATTAAAATAATGAAAATAAAAAGTTATAAAGAAAATAAATTAAAATAAATACAAAAAGAAAGAAATTAAAAAATAACCTTGTAATTAGTAATTACCACTAAGTCTCGCCTCCCACTTGAGAATTAGAAAGTGTAATTACACCCAGTTCCACGTTGACCAAGTAATAACTTGGCCATATAAACATGTCAAACTGTGTAATTATACTCAATTACACCCCGAATCCAATTCCTAGTGGCTTTCCAAATAAGCTCCAAGTGTCATTACGAATTGAGACTACTCTAGAAGACACAGTTCGTAGCTTGTCCTTTTCAAACAACTGCACTTACATGGCTAAAACTTCAATAAGCAAAGCAAGATTGATGTTTTAAACCCATTCTCACACACAACAATTTAAATGCTTTTCAGTTCACAAGTCAAACAAAGCCTCTGCAAAGTTTCCGTTAATTAAAGGTACTACTACTTCATAACATATTTTACAAATTCAAGTAGGAACGAACAACTAACTACATTTAGCCTCGGGGCAGCTTTCATCATATGGTGGCTCCTATTTGGATGTGAGATAAGCTTCTTGTTGAAATTCTCCCTTGAAATGGCTATCTAGCCTCCTTTCTAGTCTCCATAATCTTCGAGGTTATTGACACGTTCACATTCATCTATCCATTCGCTATATCTGCCCCATAGAATTCAGATTAGTTACTAAAGATGATAATGGAGAAAAAAGTTTTTAAAATAGTCGACAATTTAGATCATAGCAGACTAATGTTTCAACATATTTACATGTCTATAGGCTCAGTCAAAGCTGCCCAAAAAAAAACAATTGTCAGATGAAAAAATGCAAGAAAAACAAAGTTGAGAATTGAGAGCCATTGAACACCATCTCAAGAGATCATACATTCTGAAAAAAAATATCCTAATGCAAGATACAAAAACAAAAACCAAAAAAATGCACAGGACTGTACACTGCTCTGTAAGTGTACTCATTACCAATTCAAGCAAAAGAGACTAGCTATTCTAAGTTGAGCCACCAGTGCCCCAAAAGTATTTTAGGAAGATAAAAGCACTATATGAAACTAACCTGTCACAGTGGTACTAAAGCTTTCCTGGCAAATCCTGCATATGGCCTCACCAATCATGTTCTTCATATCACTGAAACAAATAACAGTATTTACATCATAAGAACTAGGCAAAACTGATGCAACAGGTGCAAACGGAAACGATTACAAGATACGTAACACAAGCAGTAAAACAACAATGACACCAGTAAAATATCAATGAAAGCAGTAATGAGTAATGGCGCGGTGAAGTGAAGAAGATTGATACGTGACAATTGGCATAAAAGAATAGCTCCAAGCAAGTTTAACTACAACAAGAAGTACTAGAAGTTCACTATATCTTCTACCGACACATAAATCTTGGAAACACAACACCATTTTAAGCTCTCCGTCGTTATCACCCAACTGAGCCAGGAAACAGGAAACAGAGATCTTCTTTCTCAGGTCAAATATTTTCAGCCTATCAACTCTCATTGTAACCTCATTGTCCCTCCTTATCCAGATGTTAAGTTTCTAATTTCAGAAATCCTACGCTCAAGTTTTTAGGTTAAACTACATATAGGATGGTGTGAGGTACTTTCAATAAATTCCATCTGAATGGTATAGTTACCCTCCATTTGTTTTTACCTGTAAAATTAACACATCTAGTCTACAATTAAGGGACAGGAGATGGCAGCAAAGAGCTTTAGCGTCGAGTAATACAAATATAAGGCTTCAAAATGGATAGTGACCAGACATACAGCATCAAAGCAACATGTGTAAGATTAAAAATTGATGAAGGAGCACTCACATGCGACATTCTACACTGCTTCCATGATTGCAAAAAGGACAACTGAAGAAACTGTCAAGTTTGTCCATTCTCTTCTTTGGTGCTGGCTTTGCTCTTGACTTCCTCTTGCCCATTTTTCAACCAAATTTCACCCGACAATAGGTATTATATTTAATGATCCTAGATCAGAAGATACAAAAGTTGACTTCAAGATATGGCAGAACGGGAAATACAAACAGATGAAAAGTTAATCCAAATTTTTAACGACAACAGGATACAACATTGACAAGGCACATAGCACCAATAAAATTGGGACTTTCACCACTAAGTGTAATTAACAGTAAACAGACACAATTATGCGAGAAGACAGAATTGAAAAAGTATTAGTTAAGTGAAATATGTGAAGTATAAGGTTGTCAATCTGATCATTCAAAATTGTCTAAATTTCTAATTCAAATGTGAAAATGCAGTTCAAGTTTCTAAATCAGATCTAGTGGCTATTTTCTTATAATAACTTCCAATTTTTTAATCCTAATTTCTAGCATATTCTTCTATATATTACATCCTTCTTCTTCTTACCTCCTCCTCAATAAGCTGATAATTTTCATAGGTATTACTTCGCTCATAATCCTTAATGTCTTCTACATGTATAAGTTTCATCAAAATTTATTTCGTTAACTCATCTTCTTCTACACAAGAATGTTGAGTTTGAGAGGTTTAAACTCAAATTTTTATAGTTCAATTGCTTGCTTGATATTCTTCTCTATCTCTACTTCCTTGTTTGTTTCCTAAGATATCAAAAATGCCATATTTCTGGATATATTTATTGTAATCAGGAAAAATAAAAAACTAACTTAAATCGAAACCTTTATGAATGCTAAATTGGGAATATTGCAGAACAAAACTGAGTTTTCCTCCTCAATATATATAACTTTGCCGACTCTAAAAAGCCATATATCAAACAAGGCAGAAATTGAATGAGAACAGATACAGGTAATTGAACTGATAGAAGAATTCATAAAAACCTAAAAAAAAAAAAAAAATCAGTTTATCGTAGCGCTATAGAACAACTAAAAGACCCTAAAAACGATCAAATAAAAAATATATATATTCAGGAAAAAATACACTACAAAAACCAAAACCTAGAGCAATCAAAAACCCTAGATAAAGGAGAATGGAAAGGAGAGAGAACAGAACAATAAAGATGTGAGCAATACCTGCAAAATCGTAATTGCGCCTCCTTCCCAGAGGTTTTTCTGAGAAAATGAGAGGGAAATTTTTGGAGTGAAGGGTATTTATAGGCAGCGGAAAGAAGAAGATTCTAGTAATTGGGCCAAATTTTCAGAAATCCCATTATATGGACTTGGGCTAAACTTGCAGTCTGATATCCATATAGAAGTTAAAAGCCCAAATATGAAATTTCTATTTTTAGTCACTTCCAAAAATAATAGCAGATAAAATATATTATAATTTTTTAATGTGTCTATATATCTATATATCTATTAATTATATTAGAAGCACGAAGGCCCTTAGCGAAATGTCGTTCGCCTTTTTTACCCTTTAAAAAATAGAGTTCACACTAGACAAAATAGTCAATTGATTATTTTTCCTAAAATTTAGGATTTTAAAATCAACTAAAATTTTTGTTATTAAATTTTTTCTTATATAAACAATATAAAATATCATAATATTTAGGACTTTAAAAAATCAAACTTTACCACTTATACAAGAGTACACACATAAACATTTTTAAGGAAAACTCCTAACAAGCGTTAAGACATTTAATTTTTTTTTGGAACTTTTACATGTGTAACATACAAAAATACAGTTTTTATAAATTTGGTATATATCATCGAAAGAAAATGTGCAAGCATGTTTTTTATATTAATTAGAATCTCAAATTATAATTCTCTACTTATGAGTTGTCTGTTGATGTTTGAGTATGGGTTTGCACCCCAACACCAAATCCTTCATTAGGATTTCACATCTAAATAATACTCTAAGAATATAAATAATTTAAATTATTTTGGGTACACCAACAATATAAATAATCTTTAAGCAAATTTTAACTTATATCATAATGATATAATGATTTAATTTATATCATTTTATTTCTTTCTAGGAAAAAAATTCGTTGGATTTAAATATTACTAATCTAATAAAACTCTTAGTATGGTAATTTTATCCAACAATATTGAATGTCTTAATGTTTATCGTATTTTTCAATTTGAGTTCAATATGAATAATATGAAATTTATATTAGGTATTTTGAGCAAATAGAATTTATTTCTTTAAGGCTATGAGAACATAGCATAGTAATACAAGTCAATGTATTATTCAATTCTATTAAAGCAAATGCACAACTTTGTTTTTTGGTAACTAATTTTTTTGTATTAATCACCAAGTAAATATTTATATGATCCATAACAAGGATACACACAACTTGTTATCTCAAACAAAAAAAACCATAACTAACACATAGCTAATCTAGAATTTAAGTCTATAAACAACATTCTGAATTCTAGGGGAAGCTCTAACTACAAACTATTGCAATCTCCCTTGCTATGCTCTCCCAACTTTGTTTTGTTTCTCAAAAACTCTAAGATTCCTTTCTATCCATATGCCATGTACAAATTCAGCATATAAAAGTTTAAAAATCTGTGCAGCTTGTGACTTGCCTTTAGCTCTAGCAATGATATTGTGAATGTACTGATCCCATCTAGTAGCAGTCTGATCTTGCCTTTGTGCCCACATCATCAACTTGGACCACACTCTTTGTGCAAATTCACATTGTCTGAATAAATGATTAACTGTTTCATCACATGTTTGACACAATACACACTTAGTTTCCACTTTTAATCCCTATCTTGTTAGTCTATCAGTAGTTAAGAGCCTCTGTTGTACTTGGACCCACATTGTGAATTTCGCCTTTGGTCTGGCATCATTCTTAAATATGAGGCATTTTCATTCTACTCTGGTTTGTTCTCCTAGCAACTGTTTGTAGAATTGGCCAATGACCTTTCCAGTCTTATAGGATCTCTGGTTTGTTCTCCTAGCAACTGTTTGTAGAATTGACCAATGACACCCTTTCCAGTCTTATAGGATCTCTGCACCTACTTCAAATTAACTTTGGCTTCTAATATTTTCCTTATCATCCAACAAGCTTGTTTTGGCACATAATCATTTGAAAATCGTTGCTCCTTTGTATAGTATGAATAAATTTACTTTATCCAAAGCTTGTCTAACTTCTTAGATACATCCCAACAGGATTTAAGGATGACTTCTTTATTCCAAAACTGCAGGCTTATAAGGGTCAAACCCCCAACTGACTTTGGAGTACATACTCTACTCCATGCAACTAAAGCCTTCTTGGTAATTGTATATGTGCCTGACCATAAATAACTTCTACAATAACCCTCAATTAGTTTGGCAACTTTAGTAGGCAGAAAAAAGAGTTGTGTCCAGTATGCTTGAATGCCAAACAGTACTGATTGAACCAATTGACATCTTCCTGCATAAGATAGCTTTTTAGTAGCCCACGATGAGATTCTAGTAACAATCTTCTCAACTAAAGGTTGACATTGCATAAGGGTCAACTTCTTTGTTGATAATGGTATCCATAGGTACTCGAATGGTAGTTCTCCATTGGTATATCCAAGACGTTGCAAGATACTATCTTTCTCACATTGAGTCACCCCTCTAAAATAGACTGAACTTTTTCTCAAGTTTGCTTGTAGCCCTGAGACATGGAAAAAATGAGTGAAGCATTGATGCAGAACTATGACTAATTGCAACTCACCTTTAGCAAAGAGAAGTAAATCACCTGTAAAGCATAAATATGTTACATTCAGTCTTACGCACTTGGGATGATGTTTGAAATCTTTGTCAAATTTCAGTCCAACTAGGCATCTACTGAGATATTCCATAGCTATAGCAAATAGGAAAGGGAATATGGGATCCTCTTGCCTCATTCCCCTTGCAGCTTTAAAAGGATTTGTTGATTCTCCATTGATCATAACGGTATAGTTGACTGTTTTGATACATCCTAGCACCCCATTTAGTGAATGTTTCAGGGAAACCCAACTAACTCATCACCTGTTCTAGAAATATCCACCCTACAGAATCGTAAGCATTTTGGAGATCAATTTTTATCATACATCTAGGAGAAATATGTTTCCTAGAGTATGCCTGGACTAGTTCATGTGCCATAATGATATTATCTCCAATCTTCCTCCCAGGTACAAATCCAGCTTGAGTTTCACACAGTGTTTTAAAAGGCGTGGGCGTAAGGCGAGACATTTAACATATGCCTCAGCGAGGCGTAAGCCCCATAGATATTTAATTTTTAATATTTTATAAAATAATATAATTATAGTAAATATTTATAAATATGTAAAATTGCATAAAAATAAAGAAAACTATATATGTGTGTGTGTGTGTGCGTGCGCGCGCGCTTCATCCCCATAAAAAATAGTCAAAACAATCTATTATACGATACTTAGAAGCTCAAGTAACTTGAGTCGAAAAGAATAAAGTTTTCTACATTGAGGAACAAAAATGATGACTAACCTTCAATTTGAACTTTGAACTTGCTGCTATGATGGAGAATAAAGTTCTCTTTGTATTTGTAAAAAAAATTAAATATTCGTTGTTTTTGGGAGATATTAGCAGACTAGCGGACAATATAAAGAATTGGGAAAGACCATGAATTGGGGCTTCAATAAATAAAAAAGGTATTGACTTTTCAATTTAATACATTTCAGTTCCTTTTTAAAACTTTTGAGTAACTACCAAGCTGAATTTTGAAAATTTGGGTATTATATGAAGGAATTATTCAACAAATTTTGTTTTAATTTGAAAAAATCTCTGGGGCTTACGTCTCAAACGCCCGGGCGTATGCCCCGAATTATTGGGCGTATGTCTCTTGAGACTTTCGCCCCACACCATCGCCCCGAGGCATTTTTGGTGCACCTCGCCCCGGGGCTCGCCCCTAAAATGTCTTTCAAAACACTGGTTTCACATATAATTTGCGGAATGACTTTTTGAATTATTGTAGCCAGGATCTTGGATATCAATTTATATAAGACAATACAATAGGCTATAGGTCTATAGTCCTTAGTACTAGTAGGCATATCCTTCTTTGGAATCAATGTTAAGGTCGTACAATTGTCTGCCTTATATAACTTTCCAGTTATGAAACATTCTTGTACTTCTTCTATAACTTCTTTCTTGATAATGCTCCATGCTTTCTTGAAAAAGACAACATTATATCCATCAATGCATGGTGCCTTGTCATCACCAATGTCCTCAAGGCTTGCACTATTTCCATTTCTGTTATGGGGGCACACATGTCCACTCTCTGCTGTTGGTTTAGGATTGGTCCTCTCTTCATTATAACTTTACTGATAGCATGAAGTGATTTAGTGGTTGATCCCATTAGGCTCTTATAATACTTAACAAATTCCTCTCTGATTGCCTCTGAATCGGTGAGTCTCCTGCTATCTTCTGTTATTATTTCACTGATTTCCTTCCTTTTGCTTCTTTCTTTCACCACTGCTGAGAAGTATTTAGTGTTAGCATCTCCCAATTTTATCCATTTTGCTCTAGATTTCTGCTTCATGATACTTTCTTCAATTAAAGACCATTTATCCAATTCTTGTATCAAAATTTTCACCTTTTCTATTAAAGCATCAGTACAATGGAGGTTGATTTTCTCCTGAATTTCTTTCAAATAAGTTCTTGCTTTTTGTACTTTGAGAATGTAGTTTTAAACTCGGTTGTGTTGAGCTGTTTAAGTACTACTTTGAGCTTCTTCAATTTCTCCCAAAGTTTGTACATATTTGTCCCATCTATTTGTATATGCCAAATGTCCTGAACTCTTGGTATAAAGTCCTTGTGATCAGCCCATACATTGAAAAACCTAAAAGGGACTTTTAGGTTTCTCTGATAAGTGTGTAGTTCCAAAATCATAGGTGAATGATCAGACATGCTTGGCAGATCATAAATAAGCTTTGTGTGCCCCCATTTTATCATCCACTCATGATTCCCAAAGGCTATGTCAAGTCTATTACAAATTCTATCATTTCCAAGCTGTTTATTAGTCCATGTATAGTAATCTCCCATCCAGTTGAGCTTATTGAGTAATAACTCCTGTACACATTCTGAAAATTCCTTAATTTCTGAGTAGACAACTGGATTCCTAAAAAGTCTATCTTGAGAATGCAATAAGGCATTAAAGTTACCCCAAATTATCCATGCTTGTGAAATTCCATAAGCTATATCTGTCAATGCTTGCTACAGTTATTTCCTCTGGCCGCTAGTATTAAATTCATACACAATAGTAATTAAACAGTTCAAGCCATCCTGGATACCTTCTACAAGACAGTGTACTACTTGTGCTTCCTCTCTCAGCAATCTAACTCTATAGTAGTTAGGATCCTATATCAACCATATTCTACCATTGCTTGCTTTTTGATAGTTGTTTAGCATCCCCCATCCTGTCACAATGTTGTTTAAGACTCTTTTTGCTTTTGGAACTTTAACTCTAGTTTCTATTAGGCCTGATAGCTTAATATGTTTGAGCTTTAGATAGTTCCTTAGCTCTTTCTGTTTATACCTCTTATTTAGGCCTCTTACATTCCAAACAAGCCAAGTTATAATGATCGAGTGGTGGGTTGATGATATTCTCCATTCTCTGCCTTGTCACACTTATACTCATAGCATTGCCATCCCTCAGGCTAGGGAAGTTAGTGTTGTTCAGTTTTGGGCTCTTACTCGTACTTGCTTGTTTCTTAGACTGTTGGATCTGTCTTGGTGAGCTGGTATTCACAGGTAAATTTTTCTGTTGTATTTCTCTTTGTTGTGTAATCATTTGGGCCACGGGTTTCTGAGTCTTGGCCATAGTTTGAAACTATTGAGGCTCATGTTATTGATTATCTGCTTGACCATTACCCTGTTGAGAGTGCAACAGATTATTTGCCTTCTTCAATGGTCCTTTATATTGCCATTTTTGCACCATCTTCTTCGGAGAATTTTTCCTCTGCTCGTACCGTGCCCTTTGTTCATCTTTCTTTTGTCCAGCACAGTTGTGACCAATATTCTGAAAATTGTCACAAAATTTTGGTTTCCAATCATATTGAACCACCTGTTGAAAGGTTCTGCCGCTTGGATCTATAACTGCAACTTCAGTTGGTAGAGGTTTTGTAACATTAACCTTTACTAACATTCTTGCAAAAGACACTCTTGTTTGCTTGGTTGTGCATTCATCCGCATAGATTGGGATACCCACTGCACTAGCAATCAGACTAAGAGATTTGCGACCCCAACAATTCATTGGAAGCTTTGGGAATTTTACCCATAAAGGAACTTCCACTAGGCATTGCTCCGTAAAAACAAAGTCAGGTGTCTATGGTTTCAAGATACCAGGTATGTAGTTCATTGTGTATCGACCCGAGTACACTATCTCTTGCATCTCTTCTAAGGTATGGAATTTGACAATGAAATATCCATCCTCATGAAGGAATAAATCTGGTGCTTTAACATTTGTTCAGTTTTTCTATATATATCTTTTCATAGTAATATATCCAGGTAACTCACCAATCGCATAAACAATCAATGATTTCCTCCATTTCTTAGTTTCTAGCTCTACTTCTTCTTTATCTAGTTGAATCGCTACAGACCCATTAACAATTTGAGGAGGAATGCAAGAGATATTATGATAAGTGAGGATTTTGACTGCTTATTAATAGCATTTTTCCTTTGTTTTAGTCCGAAAGTATTGAATTGTATTTCCGAAACTAATAAAATTGTGCAAATTATAAGAATGCTGGAAGTTTGGTCTCCCATGATGAAATCTGACTCAAAAAGGAGTATTACGAAACACAAGACAATAAAGGGCGCAGAAGCAGAGATGTGCGGTCCGCAGAAGGAATTCTGCGGCCACATAAGAAATTGCGGACCGCAGAATTCCATCTGCGGCCGCAAACCAAGCTAAAGAACCCAACAACCTTTTGACAATTATGCGGACCGCACATGAATTGTGCGTCCGCAAAACAGGGTCTGCACTGACAAGTATTTTCAAGTTCAGAGAATGCGCAGAAGACCAAGTCCTGACGCCTTGCAGAAGTGCGGACCACACAAGAATTGTGCTGCCTCAGAAGTTGCCTCGCATCCGCAGTCTAGAAATGTGCGGCTGCAGAATCCTCCTTTCTTCCAACTGAAGAAATCTTCGGACCGCATATGAAATTGTGCGGCCGCAGAACCTCCCGAGGGGTATTTTTGTTAGCGATTTTTGGCCCAATATAAATAGACGAGTTTCACAAATTTAGGTCAAGTTTGAACATTAAAAGCTGTTGTAGTCATTTCTTTTTACTACTTTAGGAAGTTTTACATTATTTTAGTATTTAAACATTATAATTCATCATTTTAATCTTTTATTATGAGTTTAATTAGTTTTTATTATTTATTTTCTTCAATTCTCATTATGAGTAACTACATTTTAACTAGGGTTGTGACCCAACCCTAGTGTGTAAACCTTATGGGTACTTAATTTAAAATTTATTTATGATTGGGTGTTGATTATTTATCTTAGTTCATGCTTCAATTTTAGAATTAATGGTTGCAAACATTGATTCATGCCTATTTGACTTAGCCTCTACTTTAGAAAGATGGACCTAGTCTGCGATAACTTGACTAACAAAGAATTGTGTTAATTGAGAGATTGATTAGCCTAATTAAAGGGTTCAAACTATAGATGGTAAGAACCCGACTTGAGCCCATATCAACTATTTTGTTTGATACCCATTTGGACTTGAGAAAGTCAAATTGGGCAAAATTACTCTCTGACCGAGAGGTATGGAGTGGGTAACATAGAGTTGAGAGCTATAATACACCCCAATCAACAAAATAAGTATTAACGTCTTTATCTCATTAGGCAAACATTTGGGTTATGGTCACATCCCTAGGCCGTTAAACTATTTGAAAAAATATCAAAAATATTTATCTCTAGTCTATTTAC